TGTCAACTGCAATATGAGGGGAAGTCATTGATATGTAATAATTCTTTTGGGCAAGACAAGATAGAGAATAACACTGGAGACTGGAACCGTCGTTTGAAATTCCAGTGAGAACCCATCAAACCCGAAAGACGAGTACTTTTTACCTTGTATAGACTTCACGAAGCCTGTCATGTTTTATCAAGCTTTTAGAGTAGTGGAATTAAAGAATCTTTGTTACTCTTACTTTTACCCAGAGTTTTTTTTTACACCATCTGTACTTCCTATTTGAGTAACGAATGTGCTGTACATTGCCCCACCAACTCTGGTACTAAGACACACCAAGAAAAGTGGCCAGTGCACAAAAAGAAGTAAGACCTCCCTGTAAAACACAGAGTCCAACACAGAGTCCAACACAGAGTCCAACACAGAGTCCACAACACAGAGTCCAACACAGAGTCCAACACAGAGTCCACAACACAGAGTCCAAGTCTAAAATCAAAGCTAACATTACTGCAAAGCTTGTGGAACATATTGTCTGATTGTGCTTTTAGCTGGATGACGTTAGCTTGGTTGCTGACGTGGACGAATTACTAGCTACCTAACATACCTAAATACTGTCAGCTAGTTTCATCCAGACTCCCGGGGCTGATGTGGCTGGTTTGCTGTTTGCAGGTTACTTTGTTAACTGGTAGATAATGTTTTTTTGCAGATGGCTAACACTTAGCTTGCTTGTTTGCTAACATTATCGCTATCAAAATCTGTGGATAACACCAGATATCAGTTTGCTTATGTATTCTGACAAATGTTGTTGATGCTAGCCAACAATAACTGATGTAGCGGTACAAAGCTAACAGTAGCTTTCTACTAGCCAAGAGCGATGAGACGCAGGGGCTTTCAACTAGCTAACTGTAGCTAAGCTAAGTTGGGGTTGTCCTGCTTAATATTGAATTTTACTGGTGATACTTCATTCTTGTTACTTTTATCTTTGGGCTTTATGGTGTCTCATCTTCTTTTACTGATTCATAATTACTTCCATTAAATTTCAACTTTGTTTAATAAACTGTACACCTACACACACATACTCAGGGCAGAAAAAAACACTTTCAGACTCCAGTTTGCCCCTCACAGTCCCAGACCAAAGACCAAAGACCCAAGACCCAGCAGCACCTCTCTCCTTTCTCCATCCTCCTCTCTGGAAGCTGTAAATGACCAAATTGGTGAATTTGCCTTCACGCTGCCGACCTTAATCACATTACCAATTATCAGCCTTCATAATAAACACCTCTGCCGAGCCGCAGTGACCTCTCCGACACCAATCTCATTAAAACCTCAAAGTCCTTTTGACGTTCTCCCAATAACAGTTAATCCAACGCCACCGGAGGGCCCGAGAGGCGATCCAGCGGCCTGGCCGACACAGTCGATGATTTGTGGTTTGAACTCTCTGGCACACAAACAGGAAGCTGCGACCAGCTGATTTCTATCAATTATCTAAATTAAAGCGGCTGCAATATTTCAAATGGGAGGATGTAGAAAGGACACAGATCGTCCACTTAGTGTTTGGAGTTTATTAGGATGGAGAGCTGAACAGAGGCAGGTTGATGGATAGAGACAGGAGTGAAACAGACTGATCAGGACTTTTCAAGGCCAATACTGATAGTTCTGCATTAAACATATTTGACTGCATGTTTACAGACATATCCGAGAAATATTTCATTAATAATGATTAACTGGTAGATGCAAACCAAGATTTGACATATTTTGTGCCTATAATCATTATTTATCAATATGATTGTTCAGAAAAAAAGCAACCAATCCTTTAAACTACACAACCAAACTGGTTGTTTGTTTTCTCAAAAACTTGCACAAATGAACACTGGTTTCTGATTAAGTTGATTAAAACTAGTTGGTTAAGTGTTAGAAAAAGATAGTGGCCAAACCCCTATTAAACCCTATTAAAGTAAATAAGTTGAAACAACCTTATTATATCAGGTTGGACCAACAGAAAGGCTTATTGCTGAAAGAAGAAAAAGTATTTTTTATAATTGAGTGTACGCAGTGCTTCAGTCCTGCAGGCAGAACAGTGGGCATTAAATGGTTAAACATGTTCAGGTTAATGTCTCAACTTCCACAGAAAGCCGTGTAATATTGATTAGTCCTTCACTAAGTGTGTAATCGATCAAACTCCATCAGATGGGAGGACGACTGCGGCTGAACTGGATCAGATTTATGATCAAATCTGAATATCAGCCTTTTATATAAATCAGTGTAAACCTCCGCAGGGACCCAGAGGACAAATGAACTTCATGTCTGAGCCCCATGTGACGGATTAGTCCCTCACTATAGATGACAGATTGTCCCGCCGGCAGGAAGATCATGTTCAGGCGGCAGAAAACACGCAACACCGGGGAGGAGAACAAGATGTTTCAATTATCTAAATGAGTCGGGGGCCGACTGATGGGGATCGCATCAAGCTCCTCAATTTGTTCAATCTGAAAGTCACATTCAGTTTATCTGCTCGGGGAAAGAGGATCCAGACTGCTTTTTCTGCACATAAAAAATGAATCTAAGGTGTGTGGGTGAAGACAAAGAAACCCTGAGAGACGTCTGAAAACAGCCCGAGAGGTGATGAAGAAAGAAAGGTTTGGTTTTGACAACTTCAGGACTCGACGAAGACAAGATAATCAAGAAACAGACAAAAATAACAAGAGAAAGAGATGCTGAATGGAGGCAGGAAAGCGCCTGTAAAATGGCTCGTTAGAGTCGAGAGAGAAGACAACGGAGGCGCAAATTCACAATTAAAAGGTTAAAAGTCCTAATTATTCCTTTTGGTTTCTCATTAAAAGAGATTTGAAACTGCAGCATTGTCTGATTTTATTACAAAAAGAAGAGAACAAATGAGAAACATCAAATGAAATCCATCCGTCTGTCTGTCACTGAGTCCTGCGGTCTCAACCGAGTCAATTAGTTCTCCTTCAGAGAGCTCTTATTAGCAAATATTGACATTTGTTTGAAGGGACGAACGGGATCCAGCCCGAGGTGACTGAGCAGATTATAATGAGAGGCCAAGTTGAACTGACCAACAGAAACTGATTTTCTTGATGGAATTAGTCCAGTTTCAAGAATCAGGGGTCTCAAACTGCTGGCCTGTGGGCCATTTACGGCCCTCCATCCCTCTCCCTCTGGACCGCAATACGATGTCAAAAATATAAAGATTATTATTGTTTTTTCGTTGTTTGATATAAATGAAATGATAATGATAAAAATGTATCCATACACGATTAAAAAGAAATGTATTTTTACTGTCAAAAACTGGCAGCTGTGGTTGTCAGAACTTTACCGTAATAAATACAGTAGAACATTTTCTACTATTACGATAAAAGGATATTAATATTGTTGAGTTTTAATCCATATTTTACTGTATAAATATACAAGTTATTACCATCAAAAGAAACAGTTTTGACATGAAAATAAAATAATGATAAATGGTGTGATGGTGAATTTCTGTACAATTTACAGTCTGTAATATAAAAAAAGGGGCACGTCCACCAGTTTATGTCTACCATCACCAAAGTTTCAAATCATTTCTTTTTTATTTCCTTTGAAATACTTCATCAGGGATGAGTTTTTATTATATTTTTAGGAACTTTTTAGGCAAAATATGTATTATTTTTTTTACAATCGTACAAACTTAATACTTCACACTTTAATTCAGTCTTTTTTTCTCACTGATACTTCGTCATCAGAGTTTAGATATTAAATAATAAACTGAAATGTGATTAACATTATTTTAACTCAGTTATTTAAACAATTTACGTTTTTGCTACTTGATCAAGAATGTTTTTTTAACTTACAAAATTGAGTTAGTTTTACTAATTTAGTTTCAACATTTCTTTTTAGTTAAATTAACTTACCTGGTTTTGCAGTGTAATCTAAACTAACAGTTTCATTAAGTTTTCTTCACAGAAATGAATTAAATGCTGAGATATCAGCCGACTGTGTGTATATTTTACATCACACTATTAATTACTGGCAGCAGCTTTGCCAACAAACTACTGTATTTTTTTTTTTACAGTTTCTTACTGTATTTAACAGTAAGACAGATACTGAGTCTGTGTCAGGGACGGAGAACCTCCCCTCTTCCTCCTCTTCCTCCTCCTCATCTTCCACTTCCTGTTATGTCACACATTGACGGAGCAGAAAAGAAGGAAGCGTGAAGGTGACACGCTCCTCTCTTTCATCACCTCTCCTGCCTTGTTCTGTCACACCGAGTGACAAATGAAAAGTAGAGAGGCAGTCCCGGAGGTGACGAGCTCTCCTCATCCTCCTCCTCTTCCTCCTCCTCTCTTTTCTTCTTCTTGGGTCTACACAAAGAAAAGAATTGATAGATATAATAGATATCTTTCTCTGCCTCCTTCATGCTTCCTCTCCTCTTGCTTTATTCAGTTCAATTTAATTGTATTTGTATAGAGCAGGTCTATGTTTATCTGTCTTGATCTGAAGTATCAACACTTTCACAGGAGGTACTAGAGTAGAAACTGAGATGAGTTTTTGTTTTCTTCAATTTAATGTTTAATTTAATGACATGTGATTGGCCCACAGCTAGCAGCTACAGCTAGTGGCTAGCAGCTAGCGGTTAGTAACAACAGCTAGCAGCTACATACAGTCTGTGGTGTTGAAGTCAAGTGCGGTGTATTTGATGTTACTAAAAAAAGGTATTGAATAAAGT